CAAAGCCCAACAAACTGCTGAGTGTGAGCTGGCGGGAGGGCCTAGGCCACCACAAGGTACAGACAGAGCACAGCTCACACCTGTCCGCCTGCCAGTGCAGGGGACACAGGTTCGAGCCCTGGTCCGGGAAGATCCCATATACCGCGGAGCAACTAAGCCCGTGCACCACAACTACTGAGCCTGCACTCTAGAGCCTGTGAGCCACAACTACTGAGCCCACGTGCCACAACTACTGAAGCCCTCGTGCCTACAGCCCATGCTCCACAACAAGAGAAGCCACCGCAATGAAAAGCCCATGCACCCCAACAAAGAGTAGCCCCCACTCGCCACAACTAGAGAAAGCCCGCGTGCAGCAATGGAGACCCAACCCAGCCAAAAAAAAAAAGACCCGAATAACACTATCAACCAACATGACCTAGTTGATATCTATGTTCACTCCTCTCAACAGCAGAATACACATTTTTCTCAACTGCACATGGCATATTCACCAAAATAGACTATATCCTGGGTTATAAAATACGCCTTAACAAGTTAAAAGAATTGAAATGACATAAAGTATGTTTTGGCACTATAATGGACTTAAACTAGAAATCAATAACAAAGATATATGGAAAATCCTCCCAAATTTAAATAAATTAAACAACACACTTTTAACTATAACTATATTACTATGTGCTAGCAGCGAGCAATTAGAAGTTGAAAAGTTTTGAAGGTACCTTTTACAATAGCTCCTAATTCATGACTTATCTATGTATGAATCTAACAAAGCACGTGCAAGCTCTGGTGATTCCACCTTATACCACATTATGGAATAGGCAAAACTCTAGGGACAGAACCAGAGCAGTGGCTGCGGGCCTGGGGATGGGGAGGGGAGGCTGATGGCAAAGGGGAAGGAGGGGACTTTGTGGGGTGACGGGCATGCTCTAAAGCTGGGGGTGGGGTGACCTGACTTCACGCATTTCTCAGAACACACAGGACTGGACACTAAAACTGCCAGAGTTTACTCTATGTAAATTACAGCCTGATTTTACAAATTAAAACACACACACACGAACAGGAAAAATGAAATTCGAGTTTCAATGTGCACTTCTGTGCGCTCTCAGTGCTGGTCGCCCCACGTGCTCCCGCCATACTTGAACACAACCCTCCCACTCCGACCACAACCCACCAAAAGGAGGATCGTTCTGAGCCTCAGTGGACCAAGACCAAAAGTCCAGCAAGCTTGCATTCTTTAAGAAAAGGCACACATTTAAACTGTAGTATTTACCGTGAACACTGCTTCCTGTAATTACTGACAGTCTCCAAGTCCTTACCAAAATGACTAGCGTGGACTTCCCTGGTGGCACAGTGGTCAAGAATCCGCCTGCCGGGCTTCCTTGGTGGCGCAGTGGTTGAGAATCTGACTGCTAATGCGGGGGACACGGGTTCGAGCCCTGGTCTGGGAGGATCCCACATGCCGCGGAGTGGCTGGGCCCGTGAGCCACAACTGCTGAGCCTGCGCATCTGGAGCCTGTGCTACACAACAAGAGAGCCCGCGATAGTGAGGGGCCCGCACACCGCGATGAAGACTGGCCCCACTTGCCACAACTAGAGAAAGCCCTCGCACAGAAACGAAGACCAACACAGCAAAAATTAATTAATTAATTAATAAAAACTCCTACCCCCAACATCTTCTTTAAAAAAAAAAGAAAAGAAAAGAAAAAAAAGAATCCGCCTGCCAATGCAGGGGACACGCACGCAGCAACGAAGACCAAACACAGCCAAAAAAAAAAAAGACTAGCATTTTCTAAATTTTACAGGTAAGGTTCAGATGCAAATTCTCACATCTACATGGATAAATATCATTTTTACTTCTAGATCTCGGCTGCTGCCCTGCTTGTGTAAGGTAAGTCCACTTAAAGTTCATACTTAATTCCATGACCATTCCCAGGGCTCCTACCAGCTACCTTGATCTCAGGTTTGAAACTCCAGAGGTAAGATGAAGCCTCTGTACCACAGCTAGTGAGCCTTAATGCTCTGTAACAGCCAATGCATTAGACGGGCTTTTCAGAATAAACTTATTTTTCCAGCACGGTAGATTCTCTTGCCAGGCAAGATTTGATTTCAAAATTGCACTAAGTTCTAGAAATTCAGGTTCCATTCTTGCACGCTCCCACGTTTCAGCAGAGTGTTAGGAAACCTTCTGACCCAGGCTCCCGCCCGCTGGGGTTTGGGTAGAAGACAAACTGACCACAAAGAACTACGCTCACATTTCTGGGGCTGTGACCCTCGGGACTCAGTAAATCCCATAACTGGATGGTTTGTGGTGGAAGCATTGTTTGTATTAATTCACATGCTCTGCCTCCTGACTCTGGACAATTCACTAAAGTAATGATCATTCTCTTTTTATTAAAAAAAGTCTCCAAGTAGCCTGGATTAATTTTTCTACAATGAGAATTTTTCCTTTTATAATTGGGAAAAAGGGAGCCATAAAGAATTGCTAAGAAGGGGTGGCTAGCAGGAAGCCTCCGGGCACTAAGATGGGGAGGTGCCATGAGGCTGGCGGGGAGCGGATGCAGCCGTGGCCTTGGCCCTTCAGCTTCAAGGTCATTTTTATTTAGTTTATTTTTTTTTAAATATTTTTTATTTTTATTTTTTTTGCGGTACGCGGGCCTCTCACTGTTGTGGCCTCTCCCGTTGCAGAGCACAGGCTCCGGACGCGCAGGCTCAGCGGCCATGGCTCACGGGCCCAGCCGCTGCGCGGCATGTGGGATCCTCCCGGACCAGGGCACGAACCCGTGTCCCCTGCATCGGCAGGCGGACTCTCAACCACTGCGCCACCAGGGAAGCCCCAAAGTCATTTTTAGATGGAAGGTTCTCTCAGGTTAGATATCACATGATAAACATAACAGTTTTTTTTTTAAGTCCAAAAATTATACTTCTATCTGATAGAGACAGGAAGGCAAGAAAGGTTGTAAAGTCCTAAAGAAAAACCGTGAGGCAAAATTCTATTCACAGTATAATGTTAAGTATGTTAGAGAAAGAGAGAAAATAAACAGAAGAAATGGAAAGAAATACAAATACAGGAAAGTACTAAAACATTTTTGGAATAATGGACCCGAGTAGCATTCTCCCAAACTTTCTTTATTCTTTAAAATAAATGTTTAACATCCCCAGATTGTTAGAAACCTAATATAACTTAACAAACACATGGTATCACATCAGGCAGGTTTTGATTGGGGGGATTTATTTTCTCATTTGTTTGGAAAACATAAGGTGAAATTAAGATGCATTAGTTGCGGGTTTCCCTGGTGGCACAGTGGTTAAGAATCCGCCTGCCAATGCAGGGGACACGGGTTCGATCCCTGGTCCAGGAAGATCCCACATTCTGCAGAGCAACTAAGCCCATGCGCCACAACTACTAAGCCTGCGCTCTAGAGCCCGCGAGCCACAACTACTGAACCCATGAGCCACAACTACGGAAGCTCACACACCTAGAGCCCGTGCTCCGCAACCAGAGAAGCCACCGCAATGAGAAGCCCACGCACCACAATGAAGAGTAGCCCCTGCTCGCCGCAACTAGAGAAAAGCCCGCGTGCAGCAACCAAGACCCAAGGCAGCCAAAAATAAAATAAATAAAATTTAAAAAAGAGGCTCAAGTCACTTAGTGAAGACAGACGCCAAGTCAGACACCGTTAAAAGTCTGAACGCGTGTTAACATGTGGTCACATGTTCACATGTCAGGTCATCATATGTGTCATTATAAACTTTCATTTCCATCGCGGAAATATTATATATTAAATTGACCCCAAAAAGGAATTTATTGATGTTCTCATTGGAGGCAACGGAGCCTGGCCTTGCATTAGGGTCACCTGATGTGACCACGATGACCCAGGCATGGGTGAACCACCCTCGCCGGACCAGGACGAGGGGTCGGGTCAGGAAGCCGGAGAAAGGCCCTCAGCTGCTCAGTGCAGGGCGGGTGGCTCGAGGTCTGCTCTGGAGCCCTCGGTCCCCTGTCCCCTCGCCCCTGCAGGGGGTCTCTTCTGGCGCCACGAGCTGCACAACCTACATCCCCCTCCTCCAGCAGGGTCGCAGAAGAGAAGACACTTCCCTTAAAAACAAGCTAACCAAAAAGAAAAAAAAACAAGCTAACTACGTGAAGTCCCCTCTGCGGGGACCGTGCTGGGAGGAGCCCTGGGGGCTCAGGGCCGCGTCAGGAAGGCTAAGCAGTGACGCCGGGGCCCCTCCGAGGCCTCAGTGTCACGAGATCCGGGTGGAAAGACCAGGAGGAGATGGGGGCCTTTGCTGTGTGAACTGGAGGAGCGTCAGGCCCTCGGCCTCCGGACCAGGAAACACTCTCGGGCCCCGGGTTTGCTCCCACATTCTCAGCTCAACCATCATCACAGAGCAGACGAAACATCATCACTGACTGGACAGACAGTGAGGGGCTCCGGAGCGAAGCCCGCGTCAACCCTGGGCAGCAAGTGTCACATTTCAGAAGCCGGGGTGACACCGGGGTCTCAGTGGGGCAGGAGCTGCTTGTGGGCCCGGGTGGGCTGGACCCTGCGAGGGCACCTCCCGCTCAGCCTGGAGCATCCTCGGCGGTGGGAACAGGGCCCCCAGAGAGCCCGCTTTTGCTGAGTGACGTTGTTGGAAAAACTAAATGCAAATGCCACAAGAAATGAAAGGGTTCCTTTTGGGTGATTTCTTTAAGCTCTTACACAATTGCATATGAGAACATGAACATCGTCTCTCATTCAGTTAGAAGAAAAACAAAATAACAGTGTTAGCTGTTCAGAAAATGTATTTTTGCTCAACATTCTAACACCCCTGAAAGATAACACTATCCCAGGGGTTTGACGAGAGCCCATGTACCAGATGGTTAAAGACAATGTTTCCGGTCACGTGAACGGCATCCTGACCTGCAGGTACACGATGCCCACGCCTTCGACTGCCTTTGACCCAAGGAGCTGGAAGGCTAGCTGTTCCAGCCCCGGCGGGCAGGTGTCCCCACTCACCTGGACGTGCAGGGCGCCCTCTACCGCCTCCCGGATGTCGGAACAACTGCTGATGAGTGACAGCTGCTCCTCGGCGCCCCGCGAGCCTTTCAGGGAGCCCGACTGCTCCAGCAACTTCATCTCTTTTCTGGAAAGCAGTGCAGAGTGAGCCGTGAGTATTCGGAAACAATTCAAAATCAAACAGAGGTCTACGTTACACATCGGCAGGGAAATGCAAATCAAGACCACGGGACGCCCATTAGGATGGTGACGGTGAACAGGAGAGAGAAGAAACCAAGCGCTCGCGGGGACGTGGAGAAACAACCCTGGGCACTGCCGGCTGGAATGTAAAAGCTGCAGCCAGCGGGGCAGATGTTGGGTGGTTTCTCAACAAGTTAAAAATAGGACTATCATGAACTGGTGACTCCACTTTTGGGTGTATACCCCCAAAAGCTAAAAGCTGGGACTCAAACACATATTTGTACCCCCGTGTCCATACCAGCATTGCTCAGTGGGCAAAAGAGGGGAACAACCCAATGTCCACAGACGGATGAATGGATACACAACCACACAATGGAATGTTATTCAGCCTTAAGAGGGAAGGAAACCCTGACACAGGCTACACTGAAACGCAGCAGGACGCTATGTCCTCAGCCTGCCTTTTGTCTGTGGAAAAACTTTAGCCAAAGAATAAGTTTAATCAGAGAAGTGAGAGAATTCAGAAACAAAGGAAAACAGTCAAAGGAGACCAAAAAATAATAGTTTAGTCATTAAGCATAGTCAAGGACCTTTAGTTCCCCCTTAAGGGATAGAGATAATACTCTGAGCCGTATCCTGTGAGCTGTCTTGTAGATACTGAAACCCTCACCAGGTGGAAGAAGTTAACTCCATGATGACCAGACTGTAGCCATGACAGAAGCTGCCACAATTCCGAGAACTGGCCTCAAAGAGATGGAAGCAAACCGAATGTGGAACTGAAGGTTAACTGTACCTAAAACAATCAAGATGACGTTGGTCAGACCACCGATGACCAATTTCGTGGTGACTGTCAGAGCTGCCTGTGCTGTTTCTGCCGGTAGAATAAAAGCTGTCTGTAAAAGCTCTTGCCCCCTGGTTGTCAGCGGGGGGAGTCAGCCTTTGGACAGGCATCCGTCTCCCTCCGCCCCCCACCCCGGCTGCCGGCCTGCAAAATAAAGCAAACCTTCCTTTCCACCAGCCTGGCCTCTTTATTGGCTTTTGAGTGGCGAGTGGCCGGACCCCACTTCCGGTTACAACACCATGGATGAACCTTGAGGACATTATGCTCAGTGAAACAAGCCAGCCACAAAAGGACAAGTATTGTACGATTCCACTTGTACGAGGTCCCTAGAATAACCAACTTCACAGAGACAGAGAGAGAGTGGGGGCTGCCAGGGGCTGGAGCAGGTTGCTGTCTAATGGGGACAGAGTCTCCGTTTTGCAAGATGACGATGACAAGAGTGATGGAGACAGATGGCTGTGCAACAGTGTGAATGCGCTTAATATCACTGAACTGGACCAAAAAATTATTAAGACAATAAATCTTATGTTAAATGTATTTTAAAATTAAACTTTTTTTAAAAAAATCTTTAAAGGGTGAAACAAGGCCCATGGTGGGTAAAACCAGAAACCAGTGGTTGTTCAGCCTCAGTGGGCCCCTGGGGAGAAGGGCACAAGGAGGCGCCTCGCAATGCGGACCAGGGCTGCGTGGCTGTAACTCACGACACGTTAAATACACAAGGTAAGCACACGCACAAACGTGCACAGGCTTTCCAGAACATTCTCTGGATTTCTCTCCCAGTGACTCAGCCACTTTCACGCCACAGGTTTTATCGCTAAGCCGTCGGAGTCCTTTGGAGGGAACAAGTCGGGTTGGCGCTCCTGGGCGCGGGGTGTCAGCCAGGGGTCGGGGAGGCCCTGGGTTGGGGCGATGGCTTGAGCGTGGCCAGTTACCTGGAGGGTCTGGGTCTCAGGTCACCGCACCAGGCGCTGCGGGAACAGGAGACCACAGGAAGGCCGGGCATCATGTGAGTGAGGCCTGGACAGGAGGGATGGCCCTGGGCCGGTGTCTGCAGGGCATCCCTGAGCCGAGGTAACCCATGGGCAGCCCTGCTCATCCTGTCCTGTCCTGCCTTGTCCTGTCCTGTCCTGTCCTGCCCTGTCCTGCCTTGTCCTGTCCTGCCCTGTCCTGTCCTCTCCTGTCCTGTCCTGCTTTGTCCTGTCCTGTCCTGTCCTGACCTGTCCTGCCTTGTCCTGTCCTGTCCTCTCCTGTCCTGTCCTGTCCTGCCTTGTCCTGTTCTGCCCTGTCCTGTCCTGTCCCGGGGAGGCCGGTACTCCTGAGGCACCAGGGCCCACGTGGGTCGGCCAGCTCCCTTGTTCTGTTTTTTTCTTAAAGCTGTGCATTTTGTATTTTGCTTTAGCTACAAATTGAGGAAGAGAAACTTTCTTGCTACTGTTACTGTGAAAAAACGGAAAGATGTGCTGAAATACAGGTTTCTTTATTATTTTACCAAAAAGAAGCTTCAGGCAAAGAGAACAAGTCCACGACGCATCAGGCGGACGCAGCCTCTCCTGCTTCTGGGACGGCTTCGCGAAGAAGCCCTCGCAGGCCATCACCATGCAGGGGACTCAGGCTTCAATTTTTTAAAAGGAGACAGAATCTGTGAGAGTTTTATCATATAAATGATTTGGAAGAGCTGTCGTATATCAGCTAAAACAAACCAAAAAATCTAGTTACACTAGTTCCAATATTCTTCATTGAGTGTTTTGGAAGAACTTCTGCCTCGAGCTTTGCAGGGGACGAACATAAATACCTGGAAAAGGTACGACTCTCAGCTGGCTTCTCAGCCTCATACACTCACTACTCGGAGGCCAAGAACGCCCGCTAAGAGGCTGCAGTGCCCCAGCCTGACCTCTAGAGGTCAGCCCAGCACCAGGACTCAAGGCTCCTAACTTGAGCAAAGTTAGGAGAAAAGATGTTAACAATTAACAGTATAGGGTCCAAAATGGGTGATCTTTTTGTATATTTCTGGTTTTGAGATTTTATTTTAAACAGACATTTATTAATTTAAAAAGATAAGAACTTATCAAAGAAATAAAACACAAGTATTTCCCAAACAGCAGAATGTGTTCCCAGGTCAGATCCTAAGCCCTGGTGTAGGGACAGGGGACAGGAGACTGTGGGTTTGGGTTATAAACTCTAGTTAATAGTTGTCTTTATGCATGCATTTCCTTAATAAAATTGTTTAAAATATAACAACCTAGGCACTGAGCTGTTTCAGAGGATTCCTCGTGTCCTGTGCTCTGTACCCCGCCTGTAGCCCCGTCCTCGCTGCCTGCTTCCTGTCTGCGGCCAACTCCACGAGGAGCGTCACTGTCAGCCTGTTATGAAGTGCCAAGGGGATTTGGGGCAGGTTTTTCTACTTCCCCCCTCTTCCCTGAGGTCTGAGGCACCGAGGCAGCTGGAAATGGAGAGGATGCAGCGGGAGGGCAGAGCCAGGCAGGACCAAGCTCATGAACGCAAGTCTACTTGGCCTCCGCCAACAAAAATCCTAAATCACAGAGGCACAGGGCAGGGGCCAGCTGGGAAACGAGGGGCCAGGCCAGACGTGTCCCAGGGCCCGGGGATGCTCAACTGCATCAAGCTGATGCTCCACAAAGGCCCCAGTTACGTCGGGACGACATGCCACAGTGCCCTCGGCCCCTGCGGTGGAATGCTGTGTGGACACTTTCTTTTCATTCATTCATCTCATTTTTATCATTTTCAGTGTCTCTGAAGTGGGAAAATACCAAACTTTTTATTAAAAATAGGAGCCACTTGGGGCTTCCCTGGTGGCACAGTGGTTGAGTCCGCCTGCCGATGCAGGGGACGCGGGTTCGTGCCCCGGTCTGGGAGGATCCCACATGCCACGGAGCGGCTGGGTCCGTGAGCCATGGCCGCTGAGCCTGCGCGTCCGGAGCCTGTGCTCCGCGACGGGAGAGGCCACAGCAGTGAGAGGCCCGCGTACTGCCAAAAAAAAAAAGAGTTTCAACATTTTATTTTCCACTACAGGATGTTCAGAAGAACTGAATATGGTAAGTGAGGCAAACCGCAAGGGCGGGACAGACGGCAGAAAAGTCTGTGAAAAACACAGCCACAGACTCTAGAAAACGTTCCTATGACTCAGTTAAAACAACTATTGAGCTAGTGCTCAATATGTTCTAGGCTCTGGGGACAAGAATCGCTTTATTTCTGTGCCCATCCTGGCTGGTGTTTGGAGATCAAACACCGAGGGGCGCCGAGAGGAAGGCACAGCTCCATCCTCACCTGTGTGACAAGGACCACAGAACAGGGGCCACAAAAGGATGTTCATTGGGACTTCCCTGGGGTGGTCCAGTGGGTAAAACTCTGCGCTCCCAATGCAGGGGGCCTGGTTCGATCCCCGGTCAGGGAACTAGATCCCACATACCGCAACTAAGACCCGATGCAGCCTAAATAAATAAGTATTAAAAAATAATAATAATAAGGATGCTCCTTGAGCACAACAATGACCCACCAGTCAATTTAACCCAATCGGGAAGATACACTGTTTATGCTTCTTGACAAAAGGATAAAGTTGGCTCTCCTTAAGCCTCGTGCCTAAGACATGGCCAGGGATACTTCATCTTGGGGTCCTGAACCTCTCAGGACCACAGCCAACACCCAGTGTTGCTGTCGACGTGAGTCGACAGTCATTTCGGCCTCCAGGCTGATGGTTTTCTTACTGAAAGAAGCAGTGACAATTCTTTCCTGGCTGAAAAGATTGTGACACTCAGAACTCATCTTCCTGACCAAAATATTCCCAAAAGTAAGGTTTGGATTCGAGGCTCTGAACTTGGTCTCCGGTGCAGGAATGGCACATTTGAAAATCCCCTGATTTAAGAAAGGGGAGCAGGTGGCCTTACATTAGTCACAATACCTAAAACTGAGTGGTGCCCCACCTAGGAGGGTGACCAGACAGCACTCAAACCCAATTCTCCTGGAGGCTTTTGCCAGCAACAATCTGAGCAGAGGCAGTCACAAGATATCCCGAAATCCCACTTCCTGTCAGAAGTACAACCAGTCCTGCATATTAAAGTGAACTCGACTTACACATATGTGGGTTATAAAAA